CGGATGACCTCATCCGGTGTCAGAGCTTAAGTGGGGAGATGACCCTGAAAACCCTCTGGAAACCGCTGTGTCACGGAAGATCCACACAGACAGCCGCAGGTGCTGTGACAACAGCAGAGCTGGGCGTGATGGTGCGTGCCTGTAGTCTTAAGTACTTGGGAGGCTGAGGCAGGAGGGTGGATGGAAACCAGGGGCTTGTGGCCAGAATGGCAACCTAGGGAGACCCCGTCTCTGAAACAAATGAGAGAATGTGATTGGGCCCTGACACTCAAAAATGTCAGCATCACATTAGAAGAAAGAGACAGGAACTCAATTTAAGAAGTAGCATAGATCCACACATATTTTGTGGCTAAGAAATGCATATGTATGAGCTAGGCATGGCAGTACACACGAGTAATCCCAGCACTTGGGAGGCTGAGGCAGGAGGATCACTGCAATTTTGGGCCAGCCTGGGCCACACAGTGAGTTCAAGGCCAGCCTGAACTGCGTAATGAGACTTTTCTCAAAAAGAAGAGAAAAGAAACTCATAAATGTGATATGGCAGTAAGTTTTGTGACTCACCTTGACCAGATTTGCCTGCAGCAGAGCTGTGCAGGAAAGGTTTCTGAGGCCGGCAGGGGGGTTTCCACACAGACACGAGCAAGTACAGCTCAGAAGCCTGGGTGAGCTGCTTTGGGTGGGCTCTGTGAGCATTTGGAGTTTCCTGTAAGTTTGTTTCCGAGTCTCACGCATTCATTTAGTTTGCCTCCCAGAGCAGGCAGCACAGGAGCACATGGGACACTTGTGCTGCATTGAAACCACTCCCTTAACAGGCCAACCATCTCAGATTTCAAAGACCCTGTCTCCAAATAAGGTCACGTGCAGGCACAGGGACAAGGACTTCAAAACGTGGCTTGGGGTTTTCGTTCATTTATTTTGGGTCGGGGTTGTCGTGGTTCCGGCTGTGCATGGACCCCACCAGCCACACTAGCGTAAGGACAGAGCTCCCGGGGAGGTGGTCGAGCTGAGGTCTCTGGAGCAAAGTTAGCAGGGATGGATTGTGGTCTCCCACAGAATGGTCGGCATGGCAGCACAGAGCTCCGTCTCTCTGGGATTATCCAGGACATTGGCTTATGATTAGGCCAGGCCCTTAAAGACAGTTCCTGAGTCTATTTATTGTGAGTGAACCATGATGGTTGCTCATTTGCCTGCTCATGGTGTTGTGCAGGGGACCCAGGCCCCTCTCACCACACTGGGCTGCCCCAAGCCCTGTGATCATGGCTGACCACACTGCACAGGGCTTTTGCTGCTGTCCTCGGTTATAGATGTTTCTTCTTCGAGACCCTTTTTGCCATCTTTAGATTTGTTCCACTTGCATTTCCATGAGGTGTTTGTTTGCTTTTTCCAATGTGTTATGCTGGCTCACATTTTGGTACTTCGTTACCTTAAAACCCTTATTCCCCATGGCTCTCTCACTTAGCAGGCTCCATCTGGTCCACCAAGCTCCAAGGCCCTGTGGTCACTGCTGATGTGGGGAATGGCCCCAGTCCCTTGATAAACTCGGGGAAATGTGGTCTTGTGCTCCCAAGCACGCAGCTGAGGCGTTGGGGGTGGAGAGTGTATGGATGGAGCTTTTCACAAAGGCCCACACCAGCCCATCAGGCTTATCTAACCTGCCCGTGCCTAGCTCATGGCAAAGTAGGAGCCCACCTCGGCTCCTCCCCTCCCCAGGGCCTTCCCACCGCTTCTCACAGCTCTTGGTCGGTTTCACAGCATTGCGGAGGACCAGGGCACCCTGACCTTCAAGTCAACGGGGCCAGGCGACTCACAGAGGAAAGGCTCACGGTGCATGGCTGGCCTTGAACTCACTATGTATCCCAAGCTGACCTCAAACTCGAGGTGATCCTCCTGTCTCAGCCCCCCAAGTGCTGGGACCGCAAGTATGTGCCACCTTGCCTACCAAGAGCCATTTTCAAATTGTTGTGGCTTTGTGAAATCTGTGGCATCCTAAAATTAAAAGAAAAATAAATTGAGTATTTCCAGTGAATCCGTACAAATGGGACTGAAATTATAAAATGGGGTTTTCCCTTAATAATTCTAAAAATTGTCAAATAATTAAGTCACTCTCTATTAACATATAATCAGTGTTTATTTCTGATATTGCCAAGCCCACACATGGTCTCTGGAATGAGGTGTGGGCAGCTCAGTAATGTTTTAAACTGCTTTTGTATTTGCTCAGCTGCAAGATCCCAGGAACAGAGAATCTAAAGACAGTGCTGAAAACAAACATGGTTTTACTTACTTTCCCACATCAGGAAGTTGCTTGGAGTGGTTTCTGGAGTTGTCTCTGTTACCCAATAATGGCAAGGCCAATGTCTCTGTGATTTCCTGGACTTGGCCTTTCCCTCATGATTACAAGAGAGCTGCCGAAGCTCCAACTGTCAGGTCTATATCCACAGAAAAGGAAGATATGTGTCTTCTTTAGTGATAAAAGCAAAGCTTTCCAAAACTCCCCAACAAATTTTTACTTCTGTCTCTTTGGTAAGATCTGACCACTCTGCTACTCCAAGAAAGGTTGGACTTGGAAACAGAGGCAGTGAAGGAAGAAGAGGATTAGAGGTGGTTTGTGAATCACCCAACTCAATGTCTGTCAGAGTTTTCATCTGGACATGTCACACACACTCACACTCACACACACACACTCACACACACACACACTCACACTGGGCATGATAATATTGATAGTCCTGTGCCACTTGGCTTTAAAATATCATTGTCACTCGGGCTTGGGTCTTTCTGAAGACAGGGATGAAATGAAAGCTCAAACACTCTCACTGGGGAGAGCATGGGCTCCAACTGTGCCTGGTCTCCTGTGACACAGGATCCCTTTCCTATCTGAAAAAACATCTGTCTCTCTACTTCTTGTTATCTACCTTTTATTTTGTCCTCTAATTTGTTTATAATTTGGGCTCCTCAAATAAGAGAAGCCATACAATACTAAGCTTGTGTCTGGTTTATTTCACTTACATTATAGTCTCAAGGTGCATCCATTTCCCTACAAGTAACTCAAGTCTATCCTTCTTCCGGGCAGAGTAGTACTCCATTGTATGCAAATGTCCCCTTTTCTTTATCCATTCCTCTGTTGATGGACACAGAGGCCACTGCCAAGATTTAACTGTTATGAATTGTGCCCCTATAAACAGGGTGTGCATGGGTCTCGGTAATACGATGTCTTTAACTCTTTGGGGATGACACCTGCAGTAATTCTTATCTCCTAAAGCAATGTTTGAATCCTGATGTTGCAAATAAATAAATGAAAGTGTTTAAATTGTCAAAGCGTGTGGCTGCCTAATTTCACACATTTCTGCTAACAATGACTTTCAGTACATAGCTGGGCAAAGCAAGGCCTTCCTAGGTGAAGTTCTTAAAGGAGAGGAGGGAAGTCGTCCCGAAAATGACTCTGCGAGGACTCAGGTATCAGAAACATATTAGATGCTGCTGTCCCAGATGTGGAATCCATCTTTCCTAGTGTACGAAAGATCCCAGAAAGACGCAGAGCGAGGAAAAGGCAACCCTTTAACACTTTGGTAGCCTGATGTGAGGGGACAGTGGGGGGTGAAAAAATAATATACAAAGAACAAGAAATAGGGACTAAAGAATGAATGACAGTTTATTACTCGGGGGACCAGGAACAGATCGTTAGCTCTCTCCTGGCTAAAGACCACCTGATCTGAGCTCCGCCCTGGCTGAGACCACGGCTCTGGACCCGTCAGAATTGATAATTATACAGCACAGCAAGGGGGTGCAAAGGCGGGTGGTAAGGAGGATCAGAACTGAGCCAGGCTGTGAAGAGGGGTAGCCTCGGACCCTCCTGAAGGCCGAGTCACAGTGAGCAAGGCACCTGTGCTATCTTGCTGGTCCTGGCTAACGAGCCACCCGCATGATCTCAGCTGCTGTCTACTCCTGCACAGAGTCACACTCCCTCAGCTGCGGGGACCTCACAGCCTCCTCCAGCACTGAGATCTCGGTGGTGACCATTGGCATAGGGAAGTCTGTCTCCGAACACCACCTGAGAGGTCAGTTAGGAATCCGCACTTAGACCTGGGAGTGACCCATATTCTTAATCAATAGCCACATTCCTAAGCCAAAGCAATAGGAAGTAGCCCAAGCCTGCTTGGTGCAGTTTCAAGCTGATCTTCTGCACACTTAGTGTTCTTTTTAAAGAAAATGTCCAAACCTTCAGCTTCTGTCCATAGTTAGCATTTGGTGGAAACTATTCTAAAATAGAAGGGAAAATGTAAGTTTTTAAAAAGTGGTTGCTATGGATAGGAAGGAAGCTGGGTGCATGCCTGTAGTCCCAGGGCTCAGGAGGCTGAGGCAGGAGGATGGATGCAAGTTCAAGCCTGGGCTACATAGTGAGTTCAAGCCCAGCCTGAATTACATCACAAGACCCTGTCTCAAAACAAACAAACAAACAAAAACAGCCAGGCCTGGTGGCCCACATCTGTAATCCCAGCACTCGGGAGGCTGAGGCAGGAGGATCACTGTGAGTTGAGACCAGCCTGGGCTACATAGTGAGTTCCAGGGTGGTCTCAACTACAAAGTGAGACCGTCTAAAAGAAAAAAATAAATAAATAAAATAAAACAACAATAAAAACTAGCTAAAGAATATCACCCATGTAATTTTTATCTTTAACAGGAGGGCCTGTGAGCCAGGCAGGACATTTAAGCCTGTTGTGCTGCATATAAGAAGAAAAAGTTTTGTTTGTATGAAAAATGGAAAAGCAAAGTGAATAACATCGCCTCTCAAAGTCCCTATTATTATTTTTTTTTCTGTGAATAAAGTAGACTCAGATCACGTCCAAAATACAGTCATCAAGTCACATCAGAAGGAAGCCTTGAGGGCGGGGGATTTAGCTCAGTGGTTCTACCATCTGCCTCACAAGCCCAAGTTTCTGAGTTTGATCCCTGGTACAAAAAAAAAAGAAGAAGAAGAAAAAAGAAAGAAGCCTTGAAAGGTCCACCACCAGGCCCTTTTTGGGAAGGGTTCCTGTCCCCTAGGCTAATTTCAGGACCCCACTGGGCGAAAGAAATGTTGTGTCATCCTCAGGAACCAAGGGAGCCAGATGGCCAAGGAAATCTGTGCGACGGTGTGTGTGTGTATGTGTGCGTGTGTGTGTGTGTGTGTGTCACAAGCAGTTTTGGCACCAGCCTGGCTGACTGCATGACTTAGGACGATTTGTGGAGATCTTTACACTTCACACTCATTCATGTCGGTGTCCTTTGTCCTGTAAGATGACGGCCCCGGCTGTGACTTCCTGTGGGTGCGAGAGTGTGGCAGGTGAGAGTCAGGCTGTGACTCTGCTTCCAGGACTGCTGCTATTTCTGCTGCTGCCTCAGCCTCGAGACAATGGGAAAGTTAGGTGAAGCTGTCGTTTTTCCACTTGACGGGCGTCTTTGTCATTTCCAGCTCCTGTCATCTGCATGGTGGGGCTTCTCATTATGCTTAGGTACCCTTCACAAATCTTCTTCCTGCACATTTGTTAAATTCAACACAAGAATTGTAGACACACATTGCCTGATACAGTGGCGCATGCCTATAATCCCAGAATTTGGGAGGCTGAGGCAGGAGGATCATCTCAAGTCTCCAAACTATAGAACCAGATAAGGACTGATTCTAGGGGTAGCAAGAAGCCAGTTTTCCAATAGGAACAGGAGGCCAAGTGTTGAAGAAATTCGAGGAGACACTTTAATCCTCATCCCCTAATCCTCAGCTCTGCTGTTCCTACCAGGCCACCTGTGGTCAGAAAGAAAGGACACAGCTGGCCCTGGAGGATGGGCACCCAAACCCTAAAAGCTCCCAGCCCTGAGCGGACTGACCTGTCCAGCACCAGCTCCTACCCTTGGTCTTCACAGAAATCCTTGTTCTGCCGGGCCAGGAAATTAAGTTTCAAACTCAAGGGGAAAAAATGGGTTTTTTGAGAACAGGGCCTCACTATATAGCTCAGGCTGGCCTCAGACTCACAGTGACCCACCTGTCTCAGCCTCCCAAGTGATGGAATTACAGGTGTGCACCACCACGCCTGGCTCTATCAAGAACTTGTGTGTGTGTGTGTGGTACCTGGCATCAAACTCAGGAACTTACAGTTGCCAGGCAGGCACTGTGCCACTGAGGTATATCCCTGGCCCCTCTGTCAAGAACACTTCATGCTTTGTTTTTAACATAACAAAAAAGAAACAACCAAACTAGCATTGAGGGTCACCAGTGAAATCACAAAGAGCATCTGATCAAATAGTACACATCCATCACATATCACGTTTCCAATGAATTGCTTTTGTGCCAGGAACTGAGCCCAGGGCAATGTGCATACTAAGCAAGCTCTGTACCTGAGCCAACCACCCTTCCCCAAGCAGTATTCACAAGCATAAGGAATTATGCACACTATAGCATGCCACAAAAAGCATGCTAAGCTGGGAGTGGTAACTCGCACCTGTTATCCCAGCACTTGGGAAGCTGAGGCAGGAGGGTCCTGCAAGTTGCAGTTTGATATGAACAAAAGTTCTTAAATATTTGTGTTGGGTTTATGCTTGATTTAACTACTTTTAAGAAGAAAGAAAAGCTTCCCTGAGCGTAATGTGTTTGAAACAGTTTTGAGTCATTAAAATTGCACTTAGGTCAATTTTAAATTACTATTGTGTTTTCTTCAGAACCGAATCAGGGACCTGCCCACGCTCTTGTGCTTTCCTGTGTATAACCCAACACCCTGTGCCAGTACCTTAGGCATGATGTTCAGTTGGGAGGGCCACCTGTGCCAAAGTCACTTCAGCAGCTCACCGGTACTTGGCGGGGGTGGGGGCCGAACACGTCATAGCCGCTGATGAGAAGGACTATCTGATTTTCACAAAGCCCTGTGGGGGATCAGCAGTGGACGGACAAAAAAATGCGGTGTTCACACACAATGGAGCACGGCTCTGCCATAAAGAACGACATTGAGCCATTTATAGGAAAATGGACGGACCTTGAGACAATATGTTACGTGATATAAATAAAGAGGAAAACAGAGGAACAGGAAACCGAGACAGATCTGTGGCAACTGGGAAGGGCATGGAGAGGTGGCGGGAAGGGAGGAAAGGGAAGTGGAAGGAAAGCAGCCTTCTGCGCAGCCCCGCCCTCCCCAGCGCGAGCAGGATGTGCGCAAGCGTGCACGAAACAAGAGAGGACGGGCGGGAAAAGGGCGCGGGGACAGCGGAGGGCAGCACGCCACCCCCCCTCGCCCGCCAGGGCAGGACAGGCTGGCGGCAGGCAGCAGAGGCCACGGGGACCCCCAGGTGTCCTGGTGGTGGAGCAGGACTCGCGGGGAAGGGAAGCTGAAGGATGAGCAGAGGAGTTCTGTGGGTTCAGAGCCTTCCTACCGAGGAGACGTCAAAACACAGCGGTCCGGTCCCTGAGGCCCCGCAGGAACACTCGCCTCTAGGCGACCGAGACTGAGCATAAGCACTGCTCTCTTTCCTAACCTCTGCCTTGAAGACGCTCAGTGACGGCACTTAGCAGATGTGAAAGCTTACACCTGAGAGCCCAGCCCTTGGGAAGCTGAGGGGAGGATGGCCCCAACTTCAAGTTCAAGGCCAGCTTAGGCCTACAGTGAGTGAGTGCAAGGCCGGCCTGAACCACACAGTGAGACCCTGTCTCAAACAAGCAATGACCGCACTTGATGGCTAAAACAGCCCCCATACATTCATTCACTTCTGATTTGCACTGCTAACTTTTCTCCCTACCCACACTTTCAAAAAGGGTCTAAGTCTGTAAGTTGATGCTTCATATAAATTTAAATAGAAAAATGAAAAACTACTTTGTGCAGAGTGGGGGAGCAAATATACCAGTTGATATTGCTACTCTAGAGAGAGTCACAAGGAAATTGATTAAGGAAGGTAAACTACTAAATACTATTATTTGTGTCTACTAAAATCTCAGAGAAAAACTTCCATTAATAATACCAGTTACAGGGCCAGGAATGTAACTCAGTGACACAGCAACTTCTTGGTACCAAAAAACAAAACAAAACAAAACAAAAAAAACCAGAAAACAAACAAAAAACAACTACATCAATTTTGTTGTATTTGATTAAAAATTATAGCCAGGTATGGTGGTGTACACCTGTAATCCCAGCACTCTGGGAGGCTGAGGCAGGAGGATCACAAATTTGAGCCCAGCCCAGGCAATTTAACAAGATCCAGACCCTCTCTCCAAATAAAAAATTAAAAGGGGCTGGAAGTATAGTTCAGTGCTCACTCTCTGCATTTACTTTCAGTACTGAAAAAAAAAAGTGTCTCAAACATAAGAAGGAAAATAACACCGAAGATTAGTCAATTTATTACCATTAGTGTTAGCCAAAAAGTAGAAATCTAAGGGCTCTGGGAGGCTGAGGCAGGAGGATCACAGGTTGGAGCCTAGCCTGGGCAACTTAGCAAAAGACCCTGTTTCAAAATAAAAAATAAAAATAGAGCTGGGGATGTAGCTCAGGCTGAAGGCCCTGGGTGCAGGTCCCCGTAACCCCTCCCCCAGCCCCAGCCCCAAAGACCTCTGGGGAGCAGTGGCTGTGTGAAGGCGAGCACTTGGCAGAAAGCACGTAGGAGAGAGACAAACTCGAAGATGCTCAGTCACAAGAGGTGAGCCTGGGAATGAAGAAGGTGAAGCAGTGAAAGAAAGCGTGAATTTTGAAATCTGACGACCACCTGGGTTCCACCGACTTTCACGCTCAGCAGCTGCGTCACAGTCTTCGTTCGGTGGGTGTGTGGTGAGGCGCAGAGGGTCCCTGAGAGCTCCGTGGTCCAGCGAGAACACGGGCGCCGGAACCGGAGGGGAAGAGAAGAGACTTCCGTCTTCTTCGTGATGACTCGGCGGAGAGCCATAAAAGGGAAGGGAGCGCGGGAGAGGAAGGAGTAAGATTCCCAGCGATGCTTCTAGGCTGTGCGCTGGGCAAGGGCGCAGAGCGGGGGTGGGGGTGTCTGCCCCTGCAGAGTCTCAGCCCGAGGAGTGGCGAGGAAAGACAAGAAAGCTCCAGGGAGTCGAGAGTTTAGAGGAAAGGCCTGACTGGAGTTTGGACTCCATGTAAATTACCATGGGAGTCTGGCGTGTGGCGCAGGCTTCTAACCGCAGCACTGGGGAGGCTGAGGCAGGAGGATCACCGTGAGCTCCGGGCCAGCCTGGGAGACACAGCGAGACCCAGTCTCAAAATAAATGGATAAATTATAACAGGAGAGCAAGGGATGGCATCGGGGAGGACCATGACGCGATGACATTGAGTCGTTCCGAAGGACGTTCTGTGTGACATGGGAGGACCGCGGGGAGGGACCAGCAGCTCGTACTGACCTTGCAGCGGCAGCGGAAGTGAGCTGCGCGTGGGGCCCTCCTGTGAAGGGAGAGGTGGGTGGCAGGTTCGCCAAGGAGTCGGTCGATCGGGAAAGGGCCAAACGCTGCGCGTGAGCTGGGGGTGGCTTGGGACGGCCAAGGGGCCAAGGGGCGCAGCAGCCTGGAGAGAGCTGGGAACACAGGCGGGGGGACCAGGCCCCACATGGCAGACGGGTAAGTGCTCCCCTGGCGCAGCATGGCCAAATGAGCCTCACCAAGCCAGAAACAAAGCTTGACCCCGTGAAAAGGTGATTTTCATGAAATTAGATCTTAAATAACTCTTACGATATTTTTACCACACACGAGGGTTGGCTCAGGAAGAGCCCGAAGTTCTCCGTGGCCACCGAAAACCTGGCAGAAGCAAGCAGAGGCTGCAGCGTGAGAAACCTGGTTTCCAGACCTGCGCTCACTTCCAGACCTGCGCTCATGGGCTCTACATAGAATCCCCTTCGCCGGTTATATCTTTCGATGGGTGCAGTTACAATGCTTCCTTCTGGGAGAAAGAAAGGAAGCAAGGTGCCCTCGGGTGTTTTCCCTGATGCTCGCATGGCCCGGCAGGCACTGATTCTGACCCAATGATCAGGGAATCCTCCTCCTGCTCTGGCCAACCCGCCCGGAAGCCAGCGGCCCGCAGGGGGTGAGAAGTGACCGGCGCTGCTCGCACCAGCGCGCAGGTCTCTGACCTGTGTTGGAAAGTCCGGGACCCGCTCAGAGTCAGTGACAGCGATCCCTACTGCCCGTTACTGGCTGCTCTCTGCCAGGCGGATGAACGCATACGTCTACAGGGTTTGTTTCTTGTTTGTTTTGTTTTAAGAAAACGAAGGCTCAAAGAGATTGTCCCTTGCCTAGAGGTGGAACTTGGATTCACGCAGTCCTCCTTGGAGGTCGAAATGCAGCTCCCCGCCCAGTTCTTGACGTGGTTCAAATCACCCTCGCGGAGCAATGGTGACATCGAGCTTTAAGGAGTGGTCCGAACGACAGGCCTGCCTTCCCGCGCTTGTGCAGAGGCTGGGCTCGGTGCTGATTACGGCGGCTTACTCCATGAAGCCCCACCAAGCCCACGTTAGAGGATGTCAGGCCCTTGTTCCTCCTGCAGAAGCAGGTCAGACCCAGGAGCCCTGAAATCACCAGCAGAGAGGACAAGGAAGCGAAAAGCGTGAGGCAGACTGCGCTGTGAATAAAGGGCAGCGCGACAAGCCTGGCACCCCCCCCCAGCTTCTGGTCTGTCTGGTGAAGCGAGGTTCGAGGTCCGCACCGCGAAGCCCGCAGGAGACACGGCTGAGCGGGCTGAGGAGCCCGCTGTGTACCGAGCTCTGAGTTCTGGGGTCATGTCCTGTCCTGGCCCAGGCTTTCAGGAGCACCAGCAAAACCTTTCTACGAGCTTCTTGTAAGGGAGGACAGATCAGCCTAAAACAAAGAAGTCCGTTAAAATTGGGACTGCATTTAAAACTGCTTACTAGTCCATGTCTGCAGTCCATAGTGATCACGCTCCTTGTGCGGTGCTGGTAGGGGATAGACCACACCTTTATTATTTCCAGCCCCCCGCCCCTTCCATCTCTTTGTCCCATTCAGAGAGAGGCTCTCTAAAGAATAATGGTACTTACTTTTAAAGAAAAAAAATTTAAAGCAGCATCTGTAAATGAAGCTGAGCTAATTACAGGAACATTTTTTTTTTTAAGTGCATTTCTTCCTGTCTTGGAAATTCTGAATTTGCTCCAGGTACTACATTGTGCTGCACCCACAAGCCCATGGCCTCCTACTGCGTCCTCAACCAAAAGGGGTGAGGGTGTGCAGCACACAGACACAGACACACAACATGCTGAGGGAGGCCCTCTCCCAGGAGCTCAGACTTGGGACCCAGGTGCTCTAGGTCATGGACTTTCAAGGACTGAAGATGAGAGATCTTCGATCTTCCAGATATATCTGATATATTTTAAGACAGAGTCTTGATACATAGTTCAGGCTGTTCTTGAACACGCTGTGTACCCCAGGATGGCCTCAAACTCTTTGTGATCCTCCTGCCTGAGCCTCTTGAGTGCAAAGAATTACAGGTATGCATCACCATGCCCGCCTAGAGGCATCAGCTAGATTCCCTGAGAGTCCAAACCAGGAAGACCCTGAGTCACAATTTGAGAAATTGTGAACCTCTGCCCTAGGAGGTTCTCTAAAGCTAAAATGGGGATCTTTTGCCATGTAAATGGTAACACAAGAGTCTATCAAGATAAGCATGAGGTGGGTTCTCAGACTGGGCTGATGGATCACCTTACCCAGCCCTTCTTGCCTGTCTCACAGCAGCCGAGATTAGAAACCCAAGCGTCTCAGGTCTTTTGCCTGTGTCCTTTGCAGCCAGGAACTCACATGGCTGACCTTTAGCCTTGTTGGGGGTCTGCATGTCATTGCAAAAGCTCCTGCTTCACTGACAGAGGAGGGTAGAGAGGTAGGGCCGATTCACCCCACTTCCTGCATGACGCCGGGAACTATAAACACCCTTCATCCATGACGCGGCAGGCACGACAACCTGCTAAGGGTGACTCCTGGGAGCACAGGCTCGGATGGCAGGCCCAGGCTCAGGCCCCCTCCCCTGGGTGTGACAGGCGAAAAGCAGAGGACGTGTAGACCTCTAGTGACAGAGCGTGGGTTGGCGCGGTGGCGGTGTGTGCCCGTCATCCTGCTCCTTGGACCCAAAGGCGGGAGCCTGGGCAAGATAGAGAAATGGCGGGAGGGAGAGGAAAAGGGAAACAAGCCAGGCATGGGGACCACACTTGTAATCCCATAACCCTCAGAGGCTGAAGCAGGAGAATCAAGAGCTCAAGCCCACACCGGGACTTAGCATGACCTGCATGACCTGCCTCAAAACAGAAAAGAATAAAAAGGGCTAGGCATGCAGCCCAGTGGGAAGGCCCTGGACTCAAACCCCAG